CTATTTAAACACACCCCAGAGTTATTAGAGTTCATAGAAAGGTCTATTCTAAACTAAAATCTAAATAAACTAAAATCTAAAGAAAATAGGCTTAAAACACTTTCTCCTAAACTATGAATTATTATTTTTTCGGAATGACTTTGTGCCATCAATAGACTCCCATGAGGAGTATTGTATCACAGTCCAGCTTTGATCCAGGTAGTTCCTATTGTGTTTCGGCCAGTGGTGAAAATCTCTGAGGTATACACTTCATGTTATGATACGTTGGTTCTAAGATTAGACTAATTTTTTATTTCATTCAATTTTCCTATTATATACTGATTATACTAATTTTTTATTTTATTCAATTTTTTTTTTTTTTTTTTTGGTGGTAATGTGATGAATTGACAAACATTTATGCCAACTAAGGTTTGTAGTGGGGATGATGAGATGTCATGCCTACCTCTAATCTGTTTTGGAACATTTTTGTCTCTTGATTTATTTCTAATTTCTAATTTGGAATAGGTAATATTTGATTTCTATGCTATTTCCTAATATTTTGCAGGTAGTGGAGTACATATACAAAAACAGATCACACATAGCAAATGAGTGTACCATGCCAAACAGTCTGAAGCTACAAATTTGAAATGCACATATATCATTTTGAAGACACACAAAAGTCTCATTTCAGCATTAATCCCTTAGTCATGAGAGAATAGTGTAGCACATGTATTCTAGTTATGCATTTGTTGAGCTTTAACATGTACAATGCATGCCATTTTGTTACTAATGCTAAGTTGGAATCATGTAGTCACCAAGTAGAGCTAGGAGTCATGGTAAACATGACAGATATTTTACCACAGCTAGAGTTGCTTGGTTTCTGAAAAGGTGACGTGTGACCTAGAGTATCTTGGTTTTTTGAAATAATCTTTTTGTACTGGTGGGTTGTGAAACAATCTTCATAACTGTATTTTGCCCTGTTTGACCTCTAAAACATTATTTTGGACTGTGGTTTTTGGCCCTAGTGCCAATGATGTCTAAGTTTGAACTATTGGTTTCTATGTGACAGATTTATATTATTTATCTTGCAGTTTTCTTGAGTTACTTTCAGGCGCATATTCAAGAAAGATGGTGATGCAATGGAATAAAGAAAGATTCAAGGAACATGCTGGAAAGACAAAATATTTACAAATAGGACATATGTCTACGATTTATAGGCAATGTGTAACTTTGGACAAGAATTTGCTATTTACCATCTAGACAAATAAATTAGTCATTAATAATAATAGCATATGTACCTTTTTGTAGATTTAATCACATTCCACATTTTACAGTGAAATGACTTCAGTTTTTGACACATTCAACTTAAGTTGAAAAATGAGTTGAATCCTGCAAAATAGGAAGACTCATTTGACACATTCAACTTCACTTACTGGAAAAATTACACTTTAAAAAGTTCAGAATATAGGTAAATTCTTATTACTTTACCAGGTTTAAATCTGACTCATTTGGCAAGAACTGGAAAAATATTATGAATTTGACTCTTTTGACAATAAGTTGCAGAAACCATATTGCACTATGAAAGGATTGAAAGCTACAGTGACATCATTGAAATGTATTTATGTTAGAATGAGCAGTTTAGTATTTATTGCAGCTAATGTACAGAATGTAGTCTGTAATCAAATTATTAATGAAGACTTTAATGTATTGGGCTTAGCATTCTGCTGTTAAATTATTTATTGTAGTTTTTTTTTTACAACCTATATGCAATTTCAATAAATTGTATCCAACTATGCAGACTTATATGGCTTGCTGTGGATATCATATCAAGCCCTTAGTTTTGAACCACATAGAGACAGCCTGTATATAATGAAATAACATTACATAATTGAATTAGAGTTTCTTGGAAGTTTGATCTATACTTCTAGATATTATTCCAAAAGTTTTAAATGTAAAAGGTCTCATAAGGAGAAACAGTCAATTTACATGCTCAACTTACATTAGATGCAGTTTCCTTTCCTTTTTCTTACACTACTACTTCTCTGCCATCTATTTACTTAAACAAAAAATTATAAGAGATACTTAATAAATTCAATTCTAAAAGTTTCCTGTTTTGAAAAAAAAAACAGAAAAATGAAAAAACAAAATAAACAGCCAATTGAATCAATTAAAACATCTTGCATTCAATTGAATTAGCATGCTTTCCAGTGGAAAAAAAAACGTAATGAATCAGTTCAAAAAAACTAAACCATTAGACCAACTAGACTAAAATTTTAACATAAATACAGGCAAATGAGGAAATTGACCAGATCTACAATTATATGAAATATAAACAGAAGTCTAAAGAGGACAACAGAGGTAATACTTTCTTTTTTTTTTAGACAATTTTTCAGTACACATATAAATAGTATAGAGACGGAATATCTGCAAACCAGGCCCGTAGAAATTAGTAGTATCGAATAAGAGAGATAGACTTATCTTATATGCAGAACCATTATGATTGTTCCACCATCTGCAATTCTGCATGCAATCCAAAAATGCATAAATTACTCAATAATCTTAACTTATATGTTGATACGACGCAAGTACAGATATGTAATGGTTGTTCAAAAATGGAGGTTAGACGTAAACCCTAAAACCTAGATCTGTACACATGAACGAAATTCGACAATCAATGCTTGAAATCTGAAATTTTAAGCTATATATTACATAAATTAGTACATATGTTACTTCATCTGCACAAGAAAAGGATGAATTTAAAAAAATTAATGTGCAAGAGATGAAAAATCACTTAACTACAGGTTTCTTGGATGCTTGATCTTCACTCCTAGCTAAGCTTTAGATATGTATGCTTTCCAGACAGATCTTTAGCGCGTCAAGAGCGTAGATGGATTTTCTGAAAACGCAAGTATAGAGAGAGATAGACCCGAGGCAGACAAGAGATGAGCTAAGAATTCTAATATTTTTTTTACATCAGAGGGGAGGGGGGTACCCGAGAAAGGAGCTAGTTAGCATCGCTGCTAGTCCACATCGCACGAAGGCGATCTTTGCCAATAATTTCCTCAATGCCGGGGGGCACCAACCAAGATCCTTCCAGTTTCCATTGAGATTCACAGCCATATTTGCCAAGGCATCTGCACTTACATTTTGCTCCCTGTGTATGCTCCTTAAAGACACACTCCAATTTTTGCTAGCCACATTTTGATATTCTCAATATATTCATTGATAGGTCCTCTCAAGGGAGAGTTTTCCATTATCCACTTCACGACAGTTTCCGCGTCTGATTGGACTTCAAGATCTCTAATGCCTTTTACCCAAGCCCACTGAAGGCCTTTTAGAATAGCTTGAGCTTCTACAATGGCCGCATCTGCAAAATTTGTTTTCCCGCAGAAGCCGCCCATCCATTCTCCATCTGTACGTCTGAGAATTCCTCCAACACCTGCCCTTAGGGAGGTTGGCTTTACACTCGCATCAACGTTTAGAGTCCAGGTGTGATTCATAGCCGGGCGCCAATGTGGGTTGACAGTGTTAACCATACTCCTTCTAATCGTTTTTATTTGCAGTTTCTCGAAAGCACGGTCGATTTCTCTCTCGGCTTCCAGAATCCACGCCAATTTTCTATTGATGTTGGTATCCTCCCCTTGAAAGACTCTGCTATTACACCGTCTCCATATCCACCATATTGCAACAGTGAATATCGTCGGCCTATCAATGTTATCTCTTCTTTGCCTGGTTGGGCGAATATTGCAAGCAATCCACTCTTTAAAAGTATGATGATGTATCATCCAGGTACCAAAAGCTTTTTGCAAGCCATCCCAAACTTCTGCAGCCTTTGGACATGAGCGGAAGATATATTCTGAGGTTTCTTCTTGGCCTGGACAAAAGTTGCAGTTCCCATCCATGGTGAAACCTCGTCTTCGCCTTTCAGCATTGCCCATGACTTTTCCATGGAGAATAGTCCACAACAGCATCTTCATCTTCGAAGGAGTCTTTATTTTCCACATATTTTTCCAGATAGGATCCTGCATGTTCAAGGCACATTCATGAATCGTGTTGTATGTTGTACGAATAGAGAACATACCTGATGGTTCTGGGCTCCAAGAGATTTTGTCTTCTCCATCTGTAATAGTCACTATGTTCATCTTGGTTTTTATGTCGTTAAGGAGATCTGGAAGCGTCTCCCATTTCCATCCACGAACTGCATCCCAGAGTTCTGAAACAGTGACTTCGTCTTCAATGTTGTGGTTTGTATGTATTGTGACATGCAAAGGTTCTGTAGTGAGCCACGCATCCTTCTAGAATCGCACCCCTACTCCACTTCGAATCTCATAACGGATATTATTTTGAATTAGAGGCATTGCAATGGAGATGCCTCTCCAGATGTTGGATGCACCTAATTTAGCATGGAACATGGCCATCCCGCTTTTGTTCTGGGCATATTTTCCATTCTCATTAACAATTTTGTGGTGCTTATTTTTGGCTTTTCTAGCCGTAGCTGCCGCATGATAAAATTTAGTATTTCTGTCACCCGAATTTATCCATTCCTCCCTAGCCCGTTGGAACCAATAAATCTCTTCTTGGTGTAGCACATCCTCAAGATCCTGCCTAATTTTCCTTTCTAATTTGATGAGACCCTGATTACATGTATTGTCCAGTCTCTTCTGAATACCCTCGAGTCTTCTTTCCAATCGTTTTTTTCCGGAGGTGAATGTTGCCAAACGTAATTTTGTTCCACTCCTTTAGGGAAGCCGCCATTCTCTCCCTATTCTGCCATACATTCTCATTTTCTTTCCAAGTCTTCTTTATCAAGTCAATAAAACCCGCATGGTTTGTCCATGCTCCCTGAAATCTAAAAGAATTATGGGCCTTCCTTATCTTGTCTCCCATAACAATTTTAAGCGGGCAGTGGTCCGAATTCATCGCAGCAAGGTGAGAGACTTCAGTATTGCCAAAGACTTCTAGCCAGTCCATTGAGCACAAGGCTCTATCGAGTCTAGCTCCTTTAAAAGTCGACTGGTCAGTACCTCGTTTCCACGTGAACATTTGTCCCGTGAATCCAATTAAGGTCGATAAGTTCCTCTTCAAAAATCCAATTTCTGAAATCTAAGTTTCTGTGAGATCCTTCAGACGAGCTCGACGTTTCCTCCGAGTTCGTGATTGCATTGAAGTCCCCTGCAATGATCCACTTTATTTTTGCTGAGATCGTTCCAGAGTCTTTTTCGGAGATGGATGTTCGGGCTACCGTAAACTGCCGTGAATAACCATTCCCTTCTATTTTTATCTTTAACATGCATATGGATAAACTGGGGATGAGAATTCAAGACCTAAATTCTCGTTGCGTTGCGCCACATTACCCAGATCCCACCACTATATCCGAGGGCTTCAACACGCACCCAACTATCAAAACCGAGTCTTGAACAAATGTGATCAGCATTAACACCAGAAGTTTTTGTCTCTAGAAGACATAAGATGTCTGGTGAGTGATTTTTAACCATCCATTTAGCGGCTCTCATGAAGCTCCTTGAGGCCGCTCCTTGGCAATTCCATGTTATAACTATCATGGGAAACAAACAAACAAAGCAGGAACCAAAAAACAAACCAACCATGGAAAACAAGACAGAAAACAAAGCCAAAAAAGCAAACGCATGGAAATAAAAAGCCAAGACAAAAGGAGCAAACCTGAGATGGAGCAGCTTAAATTAGAGCTCCATCTCCATCTCCTCCCTATCTGAGAGCTCATTATCATCACAATTAAGTCTCCACAACCGTTGTCGAAATTTCTTTGTTTTGCATGGTATGGTCTGGAGGGTCATTAGAGTGCTCAGGTGATTGGTTTTGGTAAAGAGGAAGGCCGAGACTCTCATCTTCTAGAGTTGAGCATACTGTCTCAATTGTTTTTCCCCCTTGTTTGTCACCTCTTACCAGAATATGTTCTCTTGCAGCAGCAGCTTGATTGGGCTCCTTACTTTTCTTCTGTTGGGAGCTTCTCTTTGCACTCGAAACATTGGCTTGTTGGGCTTGTTTTTTGTGTTGTCCATGGATGTTATTGCCTTGTATTTGTCTTTCTGAAACTTGAACCGCTGGTCTTTTACCCTTGTCAGGCCCAGCTTGAGTTAAGGATGGCCTATTCCCAGTTCTCGGCCCACTTCTATTCTCATCAGACGTTATGTCATGGAACCGTATTCACCATTCATGGTGAACACGGTTCCAACGGTGTTAGTATACCGTTATCTTTTTTTTTTTTTTTCTTAATTAATTGTTTGACTTTTCTTCTTTATTTTCACATTTTGCGGTTTCACTTTAATTTGAGGTGAACAAAGATTTCGAACATTCATAAATTATGAATTCATGCCTGCACATTCACTTTGGAACCATGCCTACACATTCCCGTCCGAAATCACGGACATTCATAAATTATGAATCCATGCCTGCACATTCACTTTGGAACCATGCCTACACATTCACTTTGGAACCATGAGATTATGAATTTTCTGTTATAAGATTATGAATTTTCTGTTATGAGATTATGAATTTTCAGTTATGAGATTATGAATTTTCAGTTATGAGATTATGAATTTTCTGTTATGCGATTATGAATTTTCTGTTATGAGATTATGAATTTTCATTACATTCATAATTTCGGACATTCATAAATTATGAATTCAGGCCTGCACATTCACTTTGGAACCATGCCTACATATTCCCGTCCGAAATCACAGACATTCATAAATTATGAATCCATGCCTGCACATTTACTTTGGAACCATGCCTACACATTCACTTTGGAACCATGAGATTATGAATTTTCTGTTATAAGATTATGAATTTTCTGTTATGAGATTATGAATTTTCAGTTGTGAGATTATGAATTTTCTGTTATGCAATTATGAATTTTCTGTTATGCGATTATGAATTTTCATAAAATTCATAATCTCATAACAGAAAATTCATAATTTGATCAAACGCGCGCCGTTAACTCCACATCCGCGATTTTTTTTTTTTTTTGCCTAAAAACGACGTCGTTTTGCCTTGTGTTCACCATTCTCGGTGAACACGATTCCATGGCATAATTTGCGTATTCTCATATTCTTCTCCCGTTGGTTCAACGGTATTATCCTCCGGGATTTCTACAATGTCGTCTTCCTGGATTTCCACCAAAGCTCCAAAACGAGACCCTTGATTGCTTCCTCTTTTATCACCCCTGTAATCTCTCCCATTCTGAGCATTATTACCATTCTTATTTCCCATATTATCTCTTTTATTATGGCGTTGATTTTGTTTCCTTTGAGGTTTTTGGACGATCATCCAAGATCCATAATCCTCCAAAATTTCAGGCCGAAGAAGAGGAGTTTCCATTCTCATTGAATTGTTACCATTGGGGTTAGAGGACTGGCCGGCTGTCTCGCCGGTGACCGGAGATGCTCCATCCTTCTGATCAGCTTGCTGATTCCCTCCATCCATGTTCGAACCATTTTTCCCACACTTCTCATGATTGTGACCATACATGCCTGCCACACTTAAAACAAATTAGATGAAGCCCTTCATATGTCACTGTTCTTACTCTTCTCCCTACTGTAAATTTTGACAAAAGAGGCTTGGTGATATCCACCTCAACACAAATCCTAGCAAAGCTTACCCTGGAAGCAAGACTGGTAGTTGTATCTATCATAATAGGACGACCAACTTTAATTTACCTCCAACCTTCATGAGAAATTTATAATCGTAGTATTCAGCTAGAAGGCATGGCATTCTTATCCAAGCTAGAACCGATTCTGTGGTATCTGTCCAGGGATCAAAATTCGGCCTCCATTCTTTGACTATCAAGTAGTGATCGAGAACCATCCAGGGACCTCCATATTTTGCAAAACCATAGTCTTCTTCCGAACCAAACTTGACCAGATAATATCCATGGCAGTGGTGATCAAATCCATCCGAGCTTTCGGTTTCCACATAGCTTGTAGCTTCTTTAGGAGATACGTATATCCCACACTCCTTCCAAACACCTTCACGATCAGGGTACGCTTCCACTTGTTGCGCATGTAAAATTTCTCTTCTTTCGTGAGGGTGATCCTTGGGCAGATGCAGATTGGATCATCTATCTCATCTTCCCCATCAGCTTCATCATCAGAAATGAGCTCCAAATCCTTCTCCGTTGGTGCTTGTCCTAGGTTCTCATTCGCTGCAACTGCCTTGTAGGAAACAGTAGGTGTTGTCTTTCTCACCGGTGGATACTCACCTTCCCCATTCTCCATCGCCACATCTCCTTCTACCGTAGCGCCGGTTGGTTCCTGCTCTCCCGTCTTCGACTTCTTTGTACTCCGTTCAAGGAGGTCTTGATCCTCCGATGATCTCGTCGCCGTCGGCTTGCCTGAGTTACTCGAGAGCATTTTTTGTGTATGACAACAAAAGAGTGTTCAGTTACAGCTTGGCCCAATTATTTGTTAGAGAATTCTAATATTTAGTGTGTAGTATGTATACATTATACATAATTTTTGTTATTAATATATTTTTAAGTTATTTAGTTATTTCAATTTCAATTTAGATATATGTTCAATTTAAATTTTGCTGAAGGTAGAACATATAAGCATGGGGAGATTCATAAATTTTCTACAATGGGACGAAAAGAAAAATAAAATAAAACACTTAGAGGCTGAGTCATAAATATTATTATTAGGGATAAAAAAAAATATTAAAATCGGATAAAAATACTCAAAACAAAAATATAATTCAACTAGAGATTACATTATTAAATCACACATACATCTATTAGAATAAATATATTACATTTATTCAGATATATGTTAAAGTAAATTTCATTATTGTTTCTATTTTTCATTTATATTTTCTATTTTTTATTTCAACTCAGACTTTTTAATCCTTGATTTTTGAAATATTAGATTATTTCTTAAATATTTCACAATAATACTTATCATGTGCATCGCACGGGGACAATACTAGTATAATAAAAATAATACGTGAGACAGTGTCGGTTTAGACACACTGTAGTGTCATTCCGTTATAACTACAGAAACGACACCGTTTTGACGTGCGGTGCATAAGCAATAATGAGTTATTTTGCACCGCGGTGCGCGATATAACGACTGTACCTACACTCATATGGTTGCTAACTCTTCCAAGAGCTACTCTTGCAGATGGAAGCATACAACGATAACATGCTTATAAATAGCAAAGAGGAGACCACGCCCATACCGAGGACTCAGTTACAAGCTTTACAACAATGGGGTAATTCAACCAAATCATAAGAAATGTGCATTTACCGTCGTCATTGTGATTTTCCATATAGTAATCTCATACCAAAAGCAATCAAGCCTTATTATGGCGTTATATAATCAACTGATGAAACTTGTTGCGTATAATAATAGACATTATATTGTTTATTAAAAAACTAATTCTATTTGCAATAGAGTTGTATTATTATTATTATTAGGGAAAATGGCATTTTCCCCCCTGTGTTGTTTATGTAACCATTTTATCCCCCTCAATTGTTTTTAAAGTGGCTATTTTTCCCCCTCTCCGATAAGTAAGTGTTAGGGCTGTTAAATATGAGGGTAAAAATGACATTTCACTTATTATTATTATTATTACTATTATTATTATTATTATTATTATTATTATTATTATTATTAATGAACGACCCCACCCAATTATTAATGAACGACCCCACCCAACGCTCTAATATACTGCAGTTTGCAAACTAAATTCATTGCTAATAATAATAATAATAATAATTCACACCCAACGCCCTAATATATTGCAGTACTCCACGTCTAAAATGCACAGTTATATTACAAACCAAATTCATTACTAATAATAATAATAATAATAATAATAATAATAATAATAATAATAATAATAATAATAAGTGAAATGCTATTTTTATCCTCATATTTAACATCCCTAACACTTATTTAACATTGAGGGGGACAAAATGGTTACATAAACAACACATGGAGAAAATGGACTATTAGTAAACAACACAGGGAGAAAAAGTGTCATTTTCCCTTATTATTATATAAAAAAAAAAAAATTAACCTCCTAATTTGTTTTCCTGATACCCTACATATACACACTATTGCCTTAACTGAGGTTCGAACCTTACACCTCCCACTTAGGGGAGCAACCCGATACCAGTGGACTACAAGCCACTTGGTATCGACAATTTTAATAATCAACAGAAATGCTTTTCTAATAGAAAATAAAAATACTCTTAGACAATCTTATTTTATTATATAAAAGTTATAGATTTTTATTAAAATTAAAATTTATAATATAATGGCATATCAAATCAAATAAGGAGTAATAAATATTAAGGAGTGATTTTTGAATTTTTTTAAAATTCACACACACACACACACAAAAAAAAAAAAAAAAAGCCAATAATTGAACTATTGAAGTAATCCGCTCCTATATGAGCTAGTAGTTCCTCAGCCGGTCAGCCCCGACCCGAATAACGGAATAACCCTTTTAAGCAAAGTAGGAAATTAGGAATGCTCTGAAAACAGAATGGCATACACTGAATCATTCAATGCAACATTTGCAGCTTATAAATTCATACTCCGTAGTTTTACACGTCTTGCAATAAATCGAAAACCATGCAAGTTCTTAAACCCCCAAAGAACTATTAAGAAGAATGAATGATACAGGATATAACATAGTATGCCAAAAAGAAGAGGTTTAATTTTCATAGTCTCTCAATCTAACAAAACATAATATACTGAATCATTTTATACACACACATCCTCAGTTACTCAGAATTAGGAACTCAACTTCAAAATATAGTCAGAGATATAGTCAGATATATATATATATATATATATATATATATATGTCAAGATATACCCGCCTTGACATCCACAATAAATATCGATGCTACTCACCAACAGGCTTCTCACTGGCGATGAAGGATATAATTTATGATGCGGAGCATTGTTACATTATATTTATTCACATATTAATCTTTGGTCCCAGAGTCACTGCATCTTCTCAATGGCACGTTTTATTTGAAGGGCAGCACTAACTACATTCCCCCTTGTAATAATCCCAACCTTCACATGGAAGAAGACAGCTACTGGTCAGGAATTACATGCTTGCTGTGCTTATAATTTACAGTCAAAACAACTGAATAAAACAATTGCAATACCAGTTTGCCATCACCATCCACCACTGGTAATCGACGATACTTTGTTTCAAGCAACAATCTAAAATTAGAAAACTAATAATTCAGTATATCTTGATATTAAAAAAGGTCAACAAAACATATCGGATATTTCACATGGTATTTAATAAAACACAAAGGAAAAAGGAAATAAATATTTACTGACAATATCGTCCTAAACAGCTAACTGAACATGAATCACAGAGGAGCAAGGAAAAGCAATATAGCAATGAAACAGTCATTTAGAATATTTTATAAGAGACTTGTGTAGTTGTGTTTGCTAGCTAGGAATAGGTAGAAGAAGAGTAAATAAAAGACTTCTGGGCAGTAGAAATAGTAACAATAAAATTAATCATAACTGTCACACCTAAAAAAAAAAAAAGACCTTAAGATTAACAGTAGCATCATTAAAAGTAATCATGACCATAGACAATACCTTGCAGCATCCTCAAGATTAGTGTTTTCACGAACAGCAAGAGGAGTTGGAGTCATGAGGTCACCAACAACTTTCCCATTAGTTTTGTTCAACAGTTGTTGGATTTCATTAAAAGTCTGCCATATATATCAACAATTAGAGAAACTTAGATGTAAGAGGCAAATTGCTATGGATACTCTCATCAACACTTGGCAATCTCTCACCCATCATACCCAATGCACAACTCTCATAACATCACAGAGCTTGTCAACAGTAACACAGCAAACTGGTATCACTACCAGAAAGCAAATCATATCAAGAAAAGATGATACAAGCCGTCAAACACATAGGATTGTAAGAGTATAAAACAAAATAGAAGAAAAATATCACATACCTTCCAAGTACTATCAACATCTGGAAACAAGTTTGTGTCACCTTGGGGACCACCTGAGTTCGCAGAAAGTGCATCTCAGTTATTATCAGTTACTGTAGAAAGCAGAGCTGGACATTGATGCACAATACAGGATAAGAGAGTTAAATTCTAGTTTTTGTCCATCAACTATTGTTTTTTTCCACATTTAGACTTTGACTTTAACATGGACCACATTTGGTACATGACTTTTGACTTTAACATGGACCAATAAATTCGCTTAGGTTCTCAAGTTTCTTGTTGCTTAGTAATGTTGCTGCATGTGCCACTCCAAGATACCCACCAATGCTGCAGAAACTAAGCAAAGGGCAAATGAAACCTGACTACAGAGATTGTCTTGAAATGAAGTGTGATTATAACAAATGGCTACCAACAAGTATATTTTTATGAAAAATGAATTTGTTGATTCCATATTGAAAATCTTTTTAATTTCCACAATTTTCTGTAGAAGGAAAGAACAGATATGCACTCCAAGTTGGGAATTTTGACTCCAAATGTGGAAGAACATGCCAACCTTGTGAAGTCACATGTTTATCCTTGGATTTGAAGACTTTTAACAGATTGGACCAAGGGAGGACCAAATGTGAAAAGTAGTCAGATACAAGATATGATCGATTTTAAAATGAAGAACTAAATATGGAAAATGCAATATTCAAGGGACTAAAACTAGAATTCTCTAGAGAAAAAAAAAAAAAAAAAAAAAAAAAAAAAAAAAAAAAAAAAAAAACTGTATTTGACTAAGCAAAATGTGTAAAATAGTCAAGATCAAAAGCATTTGTTAGTGCCACGAAGAAATGACCAACTCCATACTTCTTGAAATGAATAAGACATCAGGGTCTGTAGAGGTCATCTGTCTGATCATATGACCAGACCATTGTCTACTTCAGCCTGTTCATATGCTCCATCAACTATCAAGAAAACTGTCCATGTCAAATGAACTCCCACTTCACTAGTGACAATCACCCAAAAAAAGTCTATAAGCAGAACTACTGCATAGTACTAGTTTGAAAAAATCTATTGTCAAGAGAACTACATATTTGATCTTAGAACATCAATAATACCTGAGATGGAGTCAAGTGCCAATAAATCATAATCAGACACCACGCCAACCTACAGCAAAAAGTCAGTTAGTGGATGTGTTGGTGTTTAGGTACCATAACTAATGTTGTTTATAGCAAGTGCAGAAAACCAGGTCAGCTTAACTTCACAGATTAGTAAGTTTTAGCCAGTTTAGTGCTTGAAGAGCTGTCAAGCTGCTCAAACATAAACCAGACATCTGCCAGAGCTTATTGAGGGTTATGTGTAGTTCACATACATTATCTTTGATCCCTCACCAATTAAGAAAGTGAGTGGAGATTTATTTTCTCTGATTCTCATTGCTAGAAGGTGGGGCAAATGACTGAAATGGGAAGAAATGAAAAGGCAATGACAAAAATAGGAAGGTTTTAAAAAATGTATAATTTTGGGAAAAACTCATTTGGGACTCTCCCAAATGAGTTTGAGAAAAAAAATTAAATTTTTTTTTTTCTAAAAAATACGCCAAACGCAAGTGGCAATTGTGTTTCTCATATTGTACCAGAAACGCAATTGCCACTTGCATTTGAAGGAAGCAAGATGAGTTTCTTGTCCCAAATGAGTTTTTTTCCCAAAATTATACATTTTTTAAAACCTTCCTATTTTTGTAATTGTCTTTTCATTTCTTCCCATGTCAGTCATTTGCCCCTAGAAGGTGCGCATACCAAGTCCATAAACAACTTGAACAACTGCCAATACTTTTTTCCAACATATTCAGATTTTGTTATGCAATGGAATGAAAAGGTGAGGACAATAAAACAGAAGTTACCAAGTTCCAATCATCATCTATGACAGGAAATCCAGTTATTCGTTTCTCAACTAGAGCATCAAGGGCTGCAAATTTCAAAACCTATAATAAAAATCTCTAGAAAATACAAATACATAAACAAACAAAAAAGTAGAGTATTTCGCAAGTTCAGCTAGCAAAAACAAAGGAATAAGAGCAACCTTCATCAACGGATGTTGTAGTTTTAACGACATGTAAATCCTCTTTTCTAGTCATGAAATCACCAACTGTGTACTGTCCATCTTTAGGCTACAAAATCAAAATCCAAATCAACAAATACATTCATCGGACACACCTCCCCACACTAGCACGGAACAGAAGAGAACCTTACAGGTTGAGAATTGCTGGCAGCTGTAGCAGAAATGGAGGAAGGAACGGCAGCAGGCCGGCGAAATTCAGAAAGTTCATGGCGTCGCCAGCGAGAAGAGGTATTGACGACGACCGGATGTCTCGGAGGACACAGTCTATGATGAGCAACATTGCACGGGAGAAGGCGACAATTGACGGCGAATATTGTGCCGGAAAGGGAGATGATCGACGAATCCATATGAACAGACGGAAGTGAGATTGAGATCAGTACTTAGAGATGGATCAGAGTCAGAGACTCCATTGCGAAATGAAACCAGGACTAAGGAGCAGATGAAAGCGCAGTGTAGCTTTACAGGCACTTTCTTCACACCGGTGAAAGTGGCGAGTCGGTCGGTAGAAACGGATAGAAACTCGCCAGAGTTTTCCGCAAAGTCCCCGGTGAAATCATCACGTGGGACGGTGGGACCAGCGCATTACGGATTTTTATCACTTTACCAGTCAGCAATATGGGCCTTTTAAGCATCCTTTTGGGCTGATCGAAGTATCGAACACAACAAACCCATTCCATTTTCAGTCAAACTCTAGGGCAATTTATATCCTACACCACGGCGCGCGTAGCACTATGTGCCCAGATGCAAAACGACGTCGTTTTAATTTTACTTTTTTTTTGAAATTTTTCGTCCCAGTGAATGGCAGTAATTTTTTCTTTAAAAAAAAACCCGCTGTTCAAGAATGTACATAATGTTATACTAGAATACACATAATTGTATACATGAATGTACATAATTATGTGCAACCTAGTGTTGTAAGTTGTGCATTGTAGACTGGTGAATTGTGCATTAGTGCACATAGTTTAGTGCATTATAGGACATTGAGATGTCAACTATAGGATTTTTTTTAAATGGTGTTTGAGTGCACAACTATAGACTTTCCGATGCACAATACTCTGTATAGGAATGCACAATATTTTGCATAGAAATGCACAGATTCTAATAAGACTAATTTACCCATAAATTTATATTTTTTAATATTTTAAAGAGATTTGTTTCCTTAATCCATGTGATTTGTTTCTTTTAATCTCAGTCATGCTTTATTATAGTTTAATGGTCTAGATTAGTCCTCACGTCCTCACCTAAAGTTATGTACTCACTTGATCCTCACCCTCTATATATATATATATATATATATATATATATATATATATATATATATATACACACACACACACACACACACACACACACAAAATGGAATTTAATTTTTAAAAAATCCAAGTAGAATTTGGTACGAAACCAATATATATAGCGGTAAACCATTTTCCCACGTGAGCACGTCTCTGCGCACGTGTGACACAGACGAGATAGGCATTCAATATTATTTTTCTCTTATTTAATGCACGTTTTCACTTTTTAAGCATTATCTTTCCTTATCAAATCAAACATACCGTACTTATACTCCAAATTTCGAAAATTCCGTTGATGAATCGAAAATTTATGAGAATATTTATGTCTTTGACCGATTGTAATTTATTATAATCAAATTCAAGCTATCCATATTTCTTTGACCAAATTACTTTTTCAAGGGGTATTTAAACCCAAAACTCAGTTATCAAATTTACTTTTTAGCAAATTGTAAAAAGTTAGCTTGTTTCTCTCCCAAAGATCTCAAACTCTCAAAACTTCCCAAAACCTCAAAACCTTCATCAATGACGATTTCCTCATCCTCCACCAATTCCAACCCCAACTCTCATACTAACGACCTGCCAGCCCTTGAAGCGCTAAGTAACAAGGTCAATAATGGTTTGATGCTTAACATGTATGGCTACCTGGAGCATTCCATTGATTGTGCCACTATAGAAAGGTTCATAAAGTGTTTCGAAGATGCCGACTTAATAAAGTATTTGACGCATGACTACAAAACTGTCCACTTGGTTGACGCCACATAATTTTTCGTCAATGCAAGGTTGAAGGGCGACGAAATTCGTTGAAGGGTGAATGGGACGAATGCTGTGATCGTCCATGGCGATAAAGGACTCTTTTTGACTTTTCAGTCCGTGAAGGATAATAGACGGATTGCTCTAGGCACGCATACAATCAGGACTCATTGTGGAAGGAAGTCAAGGCTATCAGGCCCCATAAGAGCTAAAGTTTTCTTTCAAAAAGAAAACACTAAAATCAGAGTTCGAGATAGCGATCGACATCTTGAGTCGAATAAAGTGCCAGGGACAGATGACGTCACTAATGAGAAGTTTACCATGTTGAGTGTCTTGCTGAATAACTACCTCGTGGATTGGTCCATTGTAGTTTTCAACTTTATGAGACAGTTTATTCAGAAGGCAATGAACATGAATGCGATAACGATCACACAGAATGTAGGATTCGGATTCTTAGTGACCAAATTGTTGAGAGCGACTAGTGTGAAGTTGAGGGATGGAGTACTAGCACACATGAACGGCTACTATATGATAACAAAGCCTCTTGCACCGAAAGGGAAGGGTGCCACACCAAAGAAAGTTGTAATAGAAAAAAACTCATCGAATATTCTCATGGTTTAACTAGCTAAGAAGGCCAAGTCAAAGCGTAAATTGGTGGTTGAGGAAGCTGACAAACCAAAGAAGAAATCAACAGAAGTCTCTGAGGTCATACTGCCCAAGAAATCGAAGAGTAAAGTAGTGGAACCGTCAAAGCCAACCGAGACACTGCAAGAGGTAGTGGCCAGGACGTCACCATTCGAGGGGGAACAAAGTCGAATGGTAGTCGTTCGAGAGGTTACAAATGCCGAACCTACAATTCGAGGAGAATATGATGTGATTTGAACAATTGAAGATGTGAGCATTGTTTGAGAGGTTGTTACACAAGCCGATACATCCTGCGAGATCAACATTCTGGTTACTATTCGATCTCAACCCGTCCCACAAAAACCTACACAAGTAGAAGATGTGGTGAGTGATAATATCAGCGATGTCATTACCGGGGTTGCAATATGAGCTGGTGGTGGTGCTAACAGTGAAGCTACTACCTATGACCAACATGCTCGACAAGTTAATGTTGATGCCCAATTGACTCAACAAATGACCGATGAAGCTATACCTGAGGCCATCTATGCTAGAGAGGACAATATAGTATCAACATATGAGGACCTGTTTTCTGAGCTGATCAGAGTGAGCTCTTGGTAGAAATTGCGCATGTCTAACTTGGATGTCATTGAAGAGGGTTTACAACGCATGCGTCTAGAGGATAACTTCTCTCTCGAATGGTTGGGAACCACCTCTATTCCCTTAGCCACTCAGCTTGACGAGATCAACCGAGTGTACTTAAAGAAAGTGGCTGAGATAGAAGCTGCCAAGGGAAAACCCAAGTTGATTGATGAAGAAGTGCAAACACATCCTCAAAGGCCAAAAGGCATTTACAAAGGAGATGAGAATGACCCAAGCCTTCTCAAGATTTGAAACACTTGTTCAAATCTACATTACTTTTTCAATGTGGAACAAATATTATTTAAAGTTTTTCCAACTTCATTTTTTTGCAACTCAAATGGGCACACTTTGATAATTAATTTATCATTCACTATTATGCATTTTATTCGTATAATATACTCTGCAGTCTGTACCAAATTAACCATTTCACTTTGAAGAACTTAACCTAATTTGACCCAACCAAAGTTGAGAGTGAACACCACTGAAAATTATATCACAAAATGACAACTTTTAAAATCCATTTTCAATACAACTTACAGTGAGTATCAAACTTAGAAGCTGATATGTATTAAAATTTTCCTTATTGCCAAATGCGTTGTGGTCGAGTGGCATAGTTGTGGACCCTCAAACGAGAGGTCTCAAGTTTGAACCCTATGAATAGATACTATATTGTAATAGAGTTAATAGTATTTAATTCTTTTTCCTTGTTGCTTTGCACAAATATGTTTTTTGCAATAACACATTTCGCCCCTCATTTATCCCCGATTTTAATTGTTTTGTCGAGATATTCCATTCTTTTTATTTTTCCTTTGTTCTCTCGCCTTGTTCTATAGTGTATTCATGTTAGTTTACGGGGTTACCAATCTTAATAGGTGACGTGTAAAGTCAGCGTATCAATTAACTTTTGTATTTACGATTTTTCGCTTTAAGTCAGACACATTAAAATCTCGTTGCTTTGTGAAAATCAACATCAACATTTAATAATAGCAATTGTTTTGTACGTATTTATCATCTCTCTTAGTTGCGTTATTAATATAATTAATTTATTTTTTCAGTTTAATTATTACATCTGTGTCTGACACCGACCAGTTAACAAGTAAAAATTTTAATATCACACTGAAATAAATATTATGAATCTATTAAAGTAGGGTAGAATAGTATGAACTTTTACAATATCTTAAATTATATCATCATGATTATATGTACTCTATACTTTTGAAGTGTACTAAAATTGTACTATTTTTTATACATTTGGTGAATATAATGTAAAGTAAATAATATTGTAATTTTTTTTTAAAAAAATAGTATAATACTAAACAATTTAGTATGGAGTGATACTTCATCCCCTCATATATTTATCTCCAAATATTTACATATTTATGCTACACAACATGATTGTTTTATTTTATTTTTGTTTGAAATATAAGATGATTGTTTTTATTTAATATTATTATATCTGAAAATAGCAATTATTTCTTTATTATTAATTTCCAGTTATTGCTTAGCAATACCGTAAACCTTACCTCATAGTATCTGGAACGAGCTCCGCTGCGGTCGCAGCATCTTGGACCACGTCGTGAAGGCATGGGGCCCCACAGATTTAATCCAACGGTGAGGATTTAGGTGTACAGATTATCTTAGGGCTTTGGTGAGGCACAACCCCCAACAACTGCGGGTATAAAGAAAAGGCGTCCCATTTTGGAGTTTGCCCTCTCCATCTCTTCCTCTCTGTCTGCTATTTCAGTCACCGGCGGCGATCTCTTCGTCCGCTTGTCGGATTCCCGACTATCCTTCCCTATCCACACTTCCCTCTCCTCTCTTTATTTTTTTTTTTTTTAATGTTTTAAAAATCATATCAAAAAAAACCAAAAAAGAAAAAAGAAAATCTCGCAAAAATTTTTCAAAAATTCCTCGGGGGGTTTGATTTTCTTTTTTTCTTTTTCTTTTGTTTCTTATCCAAATCGATTGAACTTGTATTTTTCTGCCAATAAAAAGAGGAGAGGGAAGTGAAAAAAGCACAAAAAAATATATATAAAAATATCGGGAAAAAAATTCCAATTTTTTCTGCTAGGGTTTTGAACTAGGATGGCACAGGTTCAGGTGCAGCCTCAGGCCGGGAACCCCAGTGGGGGAGTGAACCAGTTCGTGACGTCGCTTTACGTGGGCGATCTCGATTCTACCGTCACGGATTCCCAGCTGTACGATATTTTCAACCAGCTCGGGCAAGTGGTCTCGGTTAGGGTTTGCAGGGATTT